TTTGATTCCTTTAAAATTTTTTTTTTTTTTTTTTTTTTTTTAAAAACTATTTTTTTTTTTTTTAGCCATAAAAGTCATCCTATGAGTCCTCAAACCTCTAAGCAAAAATTCTGAAGTGGGCATCCACTCTTAACACCCATTCTAGTTCTTTGCCAGAAGCGATGCAAGTGTTGCTTGACTCTGTATTAGCAGGGCAGAAGCACATGCCACAGAACACATATTTAGAGTAGAAGAATTATGCTGTAGAGTCACTACAGAAAAATCATTTCCTTTTCTTCATTTACCTATCTGTCCGCATTTCACTAAAGGCAGCTTCACAAGTCATCTAGATTAGAAAAGCCTAAAAGGCCTGCATATTACCCACTCTGTCCCATTTCATATAACAGCTTCCAGTAACATCAGACAGACAATATAAGGCTTCAAACCTTGCAAGCTGCCACTTAACCACAAAGTGATTGTTATTGTGTGGCTTCACAGCATTTACATTTATTTGAAGCACTTAATCACTATGTTTTAAGTGGTCATCAAGACAGCTAGCATTACCTTTCATAGACAAACACTTACACCAAAGTACACAACATCACATATCCTAATTTGTATTTTTTAAGTCTGAAGCTTGATAAATATAAGACCAAACCCAGCAGTCAATGTACAGTCACCATGGAATTTCTTGGCTCAAGGGCTATGACCGAACTCAACAGAAGCCTACAACATAGCTGCTGTTACAGCTAGATAAGCTGTTATTCACAAAGGGAAATTTGTTGTATACTGCAAAGACATTTTTACATAAATTCTTTGAATCAAGTATTGGCAGATAGACAATAAATGCCACATGAACAACAACTTTTTTAGAGGTTAATACATACAAGGCAGTAGTCTCCAAACCTCACTGAACATGCAAGTAGGCTAGAAATTAATTACTGTGAAAAAGAAGGACTGTGAATCGCTTCAGATATACACCAGTTATTATAATGGAGAACGTTACTTACTGGACAACACCAGATTTTTGTCCCGTTCCATAACTTCCACTGAATACCAGGTTATGTTTTTAAAGATTCAGCAGTGAGAAGAACAGATGATGTTTAAATTTTCTTTCAGTATTTTTGACAAAGAAAGAATAAGGAGAAAAAGCAGCTATTTCAAGAAGTCATGGGTGCATACAGTAAAGAATATTTAAAAAGCTTGTTCTTGGAAGTTATTGACTGATTCTAATTATCTGGGAGACAACAGTATGCTTTTACTAACTTACAAGACTAATTTACAACTTCTTACCTCTAAGATCCATACTAGAGTATTTACTTAACGTGAGACATAAGAAAATGCAACTGACAAGAAACATGCATTATAAACAATTCAAGGCAGAAAACAGACTTCAGCTCAAGACAATTCAAGCAAGTAAAGCAACACATAGTGTTAGTTTTACACTAATTTTTCAGTCCACTTTTTTTAAACTTACCAACTCTGTACTAGCCCAACTGAAGGCCTGTTAAGTAAGTTATCAGGCAACAAATTGACTTCTCTCATGGTGTTAGCTAGTCGCACAGGAAGTTCTTTCCGCAGAAACATGTATGAAGTCTTCTCACATGCATTGTCACGACCTGTTAGAAGGAAGGAAAAAAAAAACACCCAGATGTCCATTGCAGCAGATCAAATTTTAGACTTCCCAGTGCTAGACATTTAAAAAAAAAATTTAAAAAAAATCAATCACTTGTGGAAATAAGTTTTAAAATAATTTCTTTCAGTGCCCACCTTCACTTCCCTCTCACTCCCAAGATACATATTACACTTTTGCCTTCCTAGAGCTTAACCCCTTTTATGTGACATTTTTCCTCATTTCACATCATCTCATCCTCTCTCCTATAAATAAAAATCCTATAAATAAAAGCCATCAAATACCAAAGACTTAATATTAGCTAGAAATAAGACTGCAAAATACTAGCTTTTATCAGTATGAGTTTTCTACTAAAGCAAGCTTTTAAAAAGTGCATGCTGCACATGTAATGGAGGGTAAGGAGTGAAAACTAAAGAACAAATCAGAATGGCAACAGCTGTCTCATGTTCCACGTCACAAGCTCTTCAAACCTACTAAGTACTTAAACATTTCAGCAGCACCTGGAAAGACCAACAACAGTCACCCATTCACCATCCCTCCCTAGGACTAGCCTACAAGATGCTCACTAGCCACCTGGAAGGAAATGCAGTGCTTGTCACCACACTCCCATTTGGAAAAGCTGCAGCTAAGATTATTTTCGACTTCCACTTTTACAACAGATTTTTATCCAGCACAGTATTTTGAAAATAAAATAAAAACCCCCAAACAGTCAGAAAGCAAGTAAAAGGGAACCAGCAAAAATAGCCATACTTTGCCATGGACCTAGTTGGAACAGTGATAATTCTCTGGAGCCACCCTACACAAACCAGAAGACTGACATTGAATGACTAATGGCATTTTTAAGCTCAAGTAGTTACTGGAGACACCTATAAAACTTTAACTACAAATATTTGAAAGTGTAAGACAGTAAGACTCTTGCCCAAATAGTTCAGATGGAAGATCAGACCTAACTTGACATACTTTTTTTGTATTTTGCAGCGTTTCACAAGTGGGGGAACTGCCCACCATAACTAATCTCTAAAGAGTCCAGGTAAATTAAAATAATAATAATAAAAAAATAATCCATGTTTTACTTGTAATGAACAGTTAGTATTCTGCTTTCCTCTAGAAAGACAGCAAATGTCTTTTGTGATCATAACCAGTAAAACCACTTGCAAAATCTGTGCGTGAAAGCATAATACAAGAGCTATAAATTATGTTCAAGCAAACCAGAAAGTGTTAAAAGCACTGCTAGGCACATAATCACTGAGATTTGCAATTTGAAAGACTCAAGTACAATGCAACCAGCACAATCAAGGTGATACTTTTTAAGGCAGTCCCATTATAATCAGCTGAACAGCAGTTTTCACCTTTTTTGCATAGGTAACATGCATTGATGGATTAGTTCCCAAACTGTAACACAAGTTTGGAGGAATATGCAGGAAGGATTACGGTTTCCCTTTTTTCTTGCTCATTTGTTATCATCAGTCAGTGGATCATTAAATTCTGTTAGTGTCAGCAATTCTATTATTGCTCTTCCAGCAAACATTTGGACCTATTTTACTTATTTGCATTTTCACATTTTCAATTACAGATACACACATCCTGTCAGAATTAGACAAAGGAAATAAGACATTACATGGTTGTTTTCTGTGAAGCACAGTAACGCTTTCGGAGTTCAGTCCTTCAATTAAGTTAGATACCAATTCACCTACCACAGAGTATACACCCTTGTTTGTTCACAAGCCATTGTACATAGCAGGTCTTTAGGAAGACTGTGGCTGGACAGCAGGAAAGACTCTCTGACTAGCTCACCCTACACCTTCTGGGCTGGAAAAAAACCCTCAGGAACAAAGACGACGACTGCTTCTTCCCAAGAGTGACTGAGAGCAAGTTTAGTTATTTTCTAGGCAGTAAAAAGCAAAGGGAATGAAAGACAGCCCAGACAGAGAATGAGGAAACAGCAAACAAGATCCGACAGGCCATGGGATTCAGTGAAAGGGCACAGGGGCCCTTCACAGACACAGTCCCCAGGATTGTGCAAAGCAGACGACAAAAGCTGCTGGACTGGAAAGAGGGACTGGCAGAAGAGACCCACTTCTCCCATGAGCAAGGGCCCAGCTCTATTCAATTTGTCTACCCCAGCAGTTCAAAACTGTAGCTTTTTTTAAGGAGTTGCCTTGCTCTAATATACAGCTACGTTTTAGGCACAGAGCCCTTTGGGGTCCCTTTGCATGCTCAGTGCAGGAAAAAGAAAGGAAGCTCCATTTCAAGGCTGCCTAGCTTGAAGGCTTGCTTCACCATAACTTCATTACATCTTGGTTTGGGGCACGCGTTCAGAATGTCAGCTGCCTAGTTGTATGCAATCTATCCGAGAGCCTCCACAAAGTTGTTTCAGCTTCTAGCAGACGGTCAGTTATCTGCTTGTCAAACAGTGCGTGCATGGCAAGAGAATGGCAATCCACTGGAAGCAGCAACAATTAGATACCCTCCAGCTCTCGAAGCAAGAAGTACACTGTGTCCTAACGGTTGCTCCTCGGCTGCTGTTCCTCACAGCAAAGCCTGTACAACCACATTTGTCAAAATGAGGGAGATCCTACCACATACAAAAAATAAAATCTGAATCTGTAAGTTAGGTGTTTTCTTAATCTAGTTTATCATACACAAGTAAGTCTAAGTTCTAAAGATCTTTCCAGAAACAGCGTTCTAGTAAGCTGTAATTCCACTTTTGCAAGCACAACCTAGTCAGATTTTTTTTTTCTTTATTTGTTACATCTTTTTTCAAAATATACAGCATTCTTTCTTCATTTTGTTATCACTCCAGCTGGATCAGTACACATTGCCAGAATCAGGTAGGCTAAAGCCAGTTTAAATCCATCAGTTTCAGTTCAAGGGAACTTGAAGTCACTCTCTTACAGTGAAAGTGAAAGTGAAACTTGTGAATAATCTCCCCTTGATTAATATCGCAGTCCCCAAGAAGTTGCTCAATAATACAAATATATAAAACAATTACCTGCTTACCTTTGTATGAAATCAAATAGAAGAAAGAATACAGTAATCTTATCCCCTAGTGCAGACTGCACTGCATTAGGCAACAAGGACTATATTTAGCTTTATTTCCAAAAATAAATGCTGTGTCAAAGTTGTTTAATTATGGTGCACTGAAGACCAATGGTAGCAGCAGACTTCAAGGCAGAACATAATGACATGGAAGTATAATGCTAGCATGGCATTACAATACACCAGGAGTATAGCTTTTGTTATGGATTACTAACAGAAGGCCCACTGCTTTTACACTTGAAGCCATGCATTGCAAATACAGCTTTGTGCTATCTTGTTAAATGATATGAAATTAACATTCATTTTTAACTCTAAGGAGTCATGAATTTTCACCTATAAATCACTGAATCACTGAACTATAGGAATACCGCTGAAGAGTCTGGTCAGAAGATGCAGTGTGAGAGTCACTGGCATAAAGAAAAAGCTTCACATAGATATTTTATTTGTAATTTTACTGTCTTGAGAAGTCCTACACACATCAGCGCAACCACTGGTTAAATACTGTACGTAAGTTTCTTCCAGAGACAGGATACAAATAGGAAAAGCATTCAAGACTTAAGAAACAAAAAGCTGTGGGGTCCATCTCGGTACAGCCATGCTGCCATCAAGAGCCAGCAACAGACTCACAGCTCCAAGGTGAGGAAGCAGGACCTCACTGTTCAACTAATGACAAAACAGAACCTACACTGCTAGAGACAGAGAAAGTTTCTACTAGGATTATCCATACAGCATTCCCACCTTGATATTCAACCTACAGCAATGCCTTCGCCTTCACTTTTACAGTCCACTACTCCTTATTATTTAACTATTAATGATTACAGTTCTTTTTTGTCTCCTCCTTTACTAGTGCTTTCCATCTACATTTTTCTAAGTAAAATGAGTATGTTCAAACTGAAACCAGCTAACCCACCACCAAAGACTTGAACAAAGTTTTAGATTCAACTTTCTCTGAATGCTGGATGTGCTTCCATTAAAAGATTACACCTTTCATAACTGAGGATTTTTCTGCAACTTCTACATTCATGCTGAATTTGAGTTATTTGAATAAAGGCTGGGTTAACATTTCATCCTAAAGAATGTTTCAATACAAACATAAATTCATTGTCTTTAAATGAAGACTGATCTGCCGAGATAGAAGAGCAGTTCCTTTCTACAGACTCAGTAATGATACACTATGTACTTCTGCTTACCTGCCAAATACTTAACTTTAGATTGCAAGCACTAGTAACAAATGAATGCAACAAAAAGTTGTCTGTTCAACTTGTGGTTTTAATACTTAAAAGCAAAGCATTTGAGAATATTTTAAAGCATTTTCTTTGGTTGTTTTTTTTAAGATTTTAAAGCAGATTAAAAGTTTTAGAGTGATATTTCAAGATACTAAAAATTTTTTGCAAGTCAGAAGTTAGGGAACATCTTCGTTTCAAGAAAAACAGCTAAAAAAATTACTTCCTTAAACTGGCAACTGCGTAGGTTTCCAATATCAGCACCTCATTTGCAGATTGTCCCACATGCTACACTATAGACATGAAAGAAACATCAACTCAAGCAAGAGTTTGAAGCTCCCAGTGCCATGTATGAGAGATTAGAAGTACTAGAAAGGAGAGGATGCCCACCTGGAAGTCTTGGATCCTCTACAGCTTACCAAAAAGTCTGAATCCTGTTTCTTGGATTGACTGTTTCTAGCTACTTATCTATTGGAAATGTTTCAGCAAGCTGAGTAACAGATCACCCTCTAATACCTTGCTGAGAACACAGAACAGTCTAAGTTTTCAGATCCTTTCAAAAGCTAACAATTTCATTGCATAGCTTAGCTAATCCTGAACATATTAGTGGAAAAAATAAAAATGAAGGGGAAAACACCCACTTCTGGAGGTATACAAATCCATCAGGAATAACCGTTCTCATCTCAAACTGTGGAGTCATCAAAGATTTTAAATACCACTTCTG